CTCCCGTGTGCCCACATCTCGGCGGGGGAACAGGACCCGGCTTCCTGTAGGACAGCTGGGGAAACTGAGACCCGGAGAGAAGAGGCTCTTTGTGTAAAATCCCACAGCCAGTTGTTGGCAGACAGAGGCCAGACCCAGCGCGGGAGGCAATCATTGCGGGGATTCTGGGGGCTTTGCCGGCCAGAACAGTCCTCCCCACCCCCAAGGACCTGCCCTCCTCAGATCCTGCCCAGGGACCCCTGGGCCAAGACCCACCTGGAACTCCCCGCCCCCCTCCGTTAGAAGGGGCCCAAGAACCCCCTGGAACTCGCACTCTCTCGGGACCCCCCAAAGACCATCCATGTACCCATTTCCCAGCTAGTGGTTGTGTAGATTATATATATCAGCTCTGCCTCCGCAAAACTGCCAGGCAGCTCCCGTGAGGTGAGCGCGAGAATGTGGGACATTCAGAATGCTGAATGGGACGTGGGCATCCAGATGGGGGACCGCCAATCCTGATAAAAAGGACAGTTCCCATTAACGAGCACTCACTGAGTCAGGCGCTGGGCAGAGCGCTGGGGCTCAGACGGGGTCCGTGAATCCTTAAGCACGGAGGAAAGTGAGGGTCATACCCTTAAAATAGCTTGCCTGAGGTCCCCAGCGTGAACCTGAGAAAAATCCCTGAACACGAAACCTTATTTGCGGCTGAAAACGTCATCCAGCTTTTGACACAGGAGCTACTGAACTGTTAAACTAGACAAAGGCATATGACTGAACCCAGAACTGTTGCACCCTCGTTCTTGAGAAAAACTGGATATTTTCCTAGTAACTGTCGTAATGTACTAGAAAATTGACGCACTGTAAAATGTCATTCTCTCTTCCAATCGTAATGTTTGGAAAACAACTTGTGTGGTCTTCCTAATACTTCTACAATTTGCTAATAACGACCCCCTGGCTTTTATTCCTCAAAGGGACACAATTTGGGTTGCTCCCTGAATCTGTGCTCCCCAAATTGCAATTCTCAGACGCCCAATAAATGCTTTTTATTTCGATTCTTCCTCTTTTCTCGGTCAAAACAGGTAGAAGTGATGTTTATTCATGGAGACCGGCACATAGCAGTAGGTGCTCAATAATGCAGCAGGGCAGAGACCGGGACCATGCAGTGGCAGAACTCATGACCTTGAAGGTAGTAGCCCCAGATGACGGTGAGTTGAATTTAGAATGTGTCTCGTAGGCACTAGGGAGCCATGGAAGGTGTTGGAGCAAGAGAGCGAGAGTACCAGGAGACTGAGACTGCCTCCGGTGGGTCATTTCTGAGCAACAACAGCCAGGATAATAAGGCCTGGGTCTAGTCCCAGCTCTGCCACCTGTGACATGAGACAAGGTCCTTGTCTCTTGCGAGCTTAGTTTCCCCATCTGTGGGAGGGATGGGTGCTGGGCCAGAGGTTCTGTCTTCAAAGTTCTTGAAAGGCCCTCTCAAAAGCTGTAGGTGGCTGACTGCACCGGCACAACCTTTGGGGAAAGCAAACTGACGTCAATCAAAATTTTAAACATCCTCCTACTTTTAGGAATCCCACACGTGGGCACGAAATGTGTACACATGGGCACGAAATGTGGGCACGAAATGTGTCAGGTGCCAGAAGGGCCTGACTGATGGGAGGGACGGTGGTGCAGCCAGGCAGGGTGGGGTCATGGTCCTCAGTAGCGTCGGCATGAGAAAGGAAGCCAGAGGTCCGTGTGTCTGCCCAAGCAAGAGAAACAGGCAAAGAGCCCAGTGAAAATAATTCTAAACATGCGGGGGCGTGTGTGTGTAAAATCTATTCCTAGGGTGTTTTGTTTTGTTTTTTTTAACTTCTCTGAAATCGTGTTGTCTTATAATCAAATTGATGGTGTCTTTAAGTTGATGAAATGAAGCAGAACAGAGGGGCCGGGGTGTGCACCTGACCCTCCCTGGTGGGGGTGGGGCTTTCACTTTGAAAAAATGTACTTGTTTTTTTTTT